GACCGCCACTCCCAAGCAGGGCTTTAGGCTCGTCTCTCCTAAGTTCAACCCGCGCATCAGGCGCATCGTTCCTGACTCCAGCCCAGAATCTATGACATCCACTCTCGAGCCCAGCATCAACAGCCATACCCAAGACTCCCTGTATCTCCCCGGAGACTTTCCCTCCCCCAGGCAGGGCTTCCGAAGGTCAGTGACTAGGAGAACCCTGAACTTTTTTAGAAAACTCTGCTGTCTGCCGCCCAGGAAGGGGCCCTGCAGATGCAATCAGGTAGCTCCCCTTTAGCTTTCAGACGCCAGGCAGGGGAGGTCAAGCTGGACTCCCTGTGGTCCACACACTATAAACAAAAAAAGCTGAAGTCCACACATGCAGGGAAAGCCCTTCCATCCTCTGGGGCTCCAGAGCCCTAGTCCCTCCCCAGCCCAGGAGGTTCAGCCAGAGTGCTCCATTTTCCAACAGGCAGGGCAGCAGCCTATGGACCATGAGGCAGGGCAGGAGTCCAAAGAGTCTGCCAGATCATCAGCCAAACCTGAGTCCAGCATTGGTCCTGGACTCAGCAATCAAATCAGAAGTGGTGGTGCTGGACCACCACTCCCGAGCCCAGCACTTGCTCAAGGACCACCACTCCCGAACCAGTCAAGAATCCTGGACCACCACTACCGAGCCAGCCCAGAATTCAGGACTAACACTCTCGGGCCAGCCCAGAATCCAGGACCACCACATCCAAGACCAGCTCCACCTCGAGGTCCATGGCTTGCAAGCCCAACCTGTACTCCAGGGCTGTTACTCTCTAGCTCCGCCCGAGCTTCAGGACCACCACTCCCAGGCCCGGCTCAAGCTCCAGGGCCAATACTCCAGAGCCCAGACCATGCTCCAGGGCTGCCACTCCCAAGCCCAACCCCGAATCCAGGACAGCCACATTTGAGCCCAGCCTGGGCTTCAGGTCCATGACTCGCAAGCCTAGTCCATGCTCCAGGACTGCTACTCCCAAGCCCAGCATGTGCTCCAGGACCACCACTTCCGAGCCAGCCCAGAATCCTGGACCGCCACTCCCGAGCCCAGCAGATGCTCAAGGACCCCCACTCCTGAGCCCAAACCAGAATCCAGGCCCGCGGCATCCGAGCCCAGCCAGGGCTCATGAAGTACATTTTTTATATAAACTGTTGGAAGGAAACACTTCTTTACCAACTTATGTCTGACTGAGGGGAGGAGGCTGCATAGGAACTGACACTAGACAGATTAACAGGCAAAAAACATAATACGCACACAGGACCACTTTATAGTACTCCCTATAGTATCCTAGAGTAGCTCCTGGAATAGCTAGAGGTAAAGGTTTATATACCAGCTTAATAAGGGAGGGAAGGTTTGGCGGATTAATAGGATGGAAGGTTCTGGCAAGTCTTGTTTCTACAACTTTTTGGGAATGTCCCAGTGCATAAGATCAGTGCCTCCTGACTAAGACATGAGAGGGTGTGGGGGGAGAGTGCTAACCACAGACTCTAGTAAAGCTCTTTTATGATCAGATAAGAGAAGTTCAGATGAGAGTTCTTTTAGTATCTTCTATAGCTCAGATGTTTCCACTCTGAAGTATTCTCTATACCAGTTTGGTGGGTTGTTGGTCTCTGCCGTACTAATTTGGAAAAGTCGCAAGACATGGTTGATGGAAAAAGCAATTTGCAGGACAATACATATAGTATGATTGAATGTATGTCACAGAAATACATAAAACAATATGGTAATTTCCTAAGACTATGGTAAGGCTTTTGATATTTGAAAAAATTTTAATCTCTCAAAAAACTTTGGCTTAGCTGGAAGCATGTGCCTAATTTTGACTAACTGGGTTATTTAGCACCTGGCAATAAAAGGATGCAAAATGGAATGTCATCAGCAATCCTCAGTCCTCCAAGATAAGAAGAAGATAAAAGAATGGAAGGACAAGAATTTAATCACTGCTTGTCTCCTCAAACCAGCTCAACAAACCATGCACACAGTTAATAGGCTAAACTTCCAGATGCAAAACTAGGTGTGGTGTTTGATCTACAAAGAAGGGTTCCACTGTGGTTACTCAGCAACCGCTTCTCTCCTGGGGGCTAGTGCCAGGCAACAGGGACTTGCTGGGTCTTGCCCCTTCAGCAATGGTGCCCGGGCTGCTTGCCCTCAGGGGCTGCAAGCTGATTCTCTCTCAGGGTCAGGTCCCCAGTGAGGAGATTTCTCTAGCTCTTCAGGGACCTTCAGAATCAAATTCCCTTAGCTTTTTAATAACTGTGTATAGGGAGAGGGAAGGGAACTGCTTGTTAAACTTTTGCATTACCCTTCTCCATTTATTAAAATTACAAGCATGCGCACTGATGAGAAGGATCAGCTTTGCCACCTGTCCCAGCAAGGAGATTGGGTGGGTTTGATAAGTCTCCCGCTAGATGCTCCTGGACCTAGATTTTTCTGGTTAGTTCTTCTTTACTTATTATTTTTTACTTTACTTAATTTACTTACTTTCTGAGAGTGGGGAAACAGATTTTTCTCTGAATTCCCTATAGACCATATTTGAAGTGGTGGTCTACTATTCAGCAAGTGGCTACATCTATGGTTTAATGGGTCACACAGTAACTTATGGAGTGAGTTGCTTTCTTTGAGCCCAGAGGGGATCTGGGGAAAGGTATCTCCTTGGTTTTTGAGATCCAAAGCCAGGTGATCCCTCTGTGCCCAGAGGATCTGGCAGCTTTCTTCTAGCTCCCACCCTGGCCAGCTAGTCCAGGCCAGACTCGGGCTCCAGGGAAGATTGAAATGTTTCACGGCCTGCCTGCCTTTTTGTGCCATTCTTTGGCTGATATTGGTTGATAGCAAATATAAACCCTTTGGGCAAAGTTTAGTTGTGCACAGAGTAACAACCTTCACTTCCTTTATTTAGGTCTTCCACAACTGAACTCTGCTTTAAGGACAAAAGTAGGAGGGTTTTGTTGTTTGTTTTTTAAGAATTCTTATTCCTTTCTGCAAAGTGTTTGGAGGATGTAAACATGAATGTCATGGGCTAACAAGACAAAAGTTCATTTTAAATATTCTCCTTACTTTCCCTTTCCTTTCCATACTCTAGCTCCTGGAGATTCTCCTCTCCAGGAGCTAGTTAAGCTATCCTTGAAAGAATAGCAAACCTCATCTTCCTTCACAATCAAGCCCACAGCTCTGCCAGGGATGCTACAGAAACTGCTTCTGGCCTCAACTCCCCAGAGAGGGAGGGAGCCTTGGGGTTTGTTCAGTTGCGCAGTTCCACGTCTGTTAGCAGTCATGGGTTCTCTTCCTCCAGCTATGTTTAGCTTTGTTTGTCTTCCATGGGAACACAACTTTTCTCATCTCTCCATTTATAACAACTCATCATCACCAAGGACCTGAGCCTCAGATGATGAGCCGGGCAGATATGATCTGGATTTGTAAACATCCACCAAGAGAAAAGAGAGGCCCCTTCTACAAAGAGGTGTGACCCCACCTATTCTGGGAAATGTGTTCCCTTTCCAGTTCAGATCCAAAGACATACCCCTTTATCCTTCACAAGTCCATGTGATTTTAAAAGGTTTGGCCTAAAATGTATTAACTATGTATGGTGTCAGATGAGTACTAGACTTATTTATTGGGGTGGTCACTTTGTAAGGTATATCACTGTCTAATCACTATGTTGTACACCTGAAACCAATATAATATTGCATGTCAACTGCAATCGGAAAATAAATTATTTTAAAAAACTGAAAGAAAAAAAAAAAGCTTTGGCTTAAAACCTTTCTAAATGACTCCTGCTCCCTCTGACCTTTCTCTTTGCTGAAATTTTCACAGCATTTGCAGTTGGCATCATTCAATTTAGCACTCAGTTTGACTACTGACTTGTATTGCTTGCAAACTGCTTCATGGTTACTGGTTTCAACTTCCTAAGGAGACCATTCCTAACAATAGAATGATCGTAACAGCAGCAGCAAAAATTGATAGATGGCTGACTCTGTGCATATCACTTTCCACAGATTAACTCATTTTATTCCCCTAATATCCCTACTGAGGTATGTACTACCTACTATTATCTTATTTTTCTGTTTACAACTGAAGCAACTGAGGCACAGAGATGTTAAATAAATTGCCCAAGGTTGCACAACTAGTAAATAAAAGAGTTAGGATTTGACCTAGGTTGAAGAGCCCCTAGGGGTCTCTAAAAGATGTCTTTTAGACTATCTTCTAAATCCTGTTTACTCCATAGTACCTAATCCTATGAATTAAATTTATCCTCCCTATTTTCAGATGAGAAAACTAAACATGCCTGAGGTCACACAGTCAGATCCTGGGGAGAGCTGTGACTCAAATCTAGATAGATCTAATGCTTTCTTTTTCCCCACTAAATGGAAACCATGGATTTAATTAATACCTCAATCATCATACCTCTGATGTTCATCTCATTCACAACTGGAGACACTTTTGCAGGCAGGGGGAGGAGAAAGGATATAAAGAGGCTGATATATCAAGTCCCTACTGCTTAAGTTCAGCAGGCACAAAGAGATGAGGTTGGAGTGTTGAGGGATCCTTAGATTGTCACATAGGGAAATGAATTTAAGACTTTCTGTAAAATTTTTAATCCAAGATTTTGTGATAAACTCTGTTGACTTGAAAATTCAACTAAGAGCACCGTGAGTATCCTGGTTCATTAGGTTTCAGCTATGAATAATAATACCCTCCAAATCCATTATAAAGTGTTGCTATTTCCTAGGTTGCCCTTGGTTCCATAAGGAATGGGTAAAGGTGGTCACAGACTGCCTTCTGGGAATTCGTGAAAAATTCAGTGAATATGTGCATTTTTTTTGTTTTTTTTTTCTGGGAAAGAGAATCCATAGCTTTTACTGGATCCTTTAAGACATAAAACGTCATCCAAAGTTAAAAACCACTAAAATTATGCTTTGAAGGTATACCTGAACACATAATTATATATATATAACTATATAAACACTACACACACATTTTTTTGTGTGTGCACAGAAAGTGTCTGTCAGGGAATACACCAAAATGTTAACAGCAATTACTTCTGAAGAGAGATATTTTTAAAAGCAGAAGGCAAGGGAGACTAACTTTAGCTCCATATGATTCTGTAATGATTTTAAAATTAAATAATTATTAATAATTTTCAATGATCATGCATTACTTTTATAATTAAAATGTAAGAAAAAAAATCTGATCTGTGTTCTGTAGCACTGTGGGTAGACCATGCTAAGAAAACCGTAACAGTGAGGAAGTAGCTGCTACGGAATTTACTACAGACATTGTTACAATGAGTCCATGGCCAGTATTTATTGGGTCATGGCTGTCCAGCTAGGATAAGGATGAACTGCTGCCTACCAGGGTACTGTGGACAGCCAGGAAGCTCCATGTGGCAGCAGACTTACCTTGCACGTGGTACCCTGAGATGGGCGGCACTGAGTGCACAGTGGGGTCAAGGCCATCAGAAGTGGTATTAGGCTCTACAAAGAGCACAGCAGCCTCTGCAGACAGGTCTAACATGGATGTAGGTTGCAAGTGAAAATGGACGTCACTCCTTCCAAGGTCACATCTGCACACAAAGTCATCACTGTAGGAACTGTCATCATCTAAACACAGTGAGCAAGGACATAGATATTTTTTACAAGCACATCTTATTCTTTGGGAGGGTCTGGCAAGTAGAACACAGAACTGGAAGACAGTGCCCTGAGGTCTCTTTATGACCATGGTCTTGTAAAAGTCCTCTGCCCTGTCTGGCCAGATATTTTCCCATTCTGACAAAACGATAAAAATAGCCTCTACCAAAAGCCTCCAAATCAGTCATTCTGAAATCATTGCCAAATGTCTGTCATGGTTCTAAAAACAGCCAGAATATGAATCACATTAAACCCCCAACTTTATTATTTCTTTAATATAAAAACTATAATAACAGCATTAAGGATTTTAACTGCTTTCATCTTTCAGCCTGTCTTTCAAACTAACAGTTTAATCTCTTACTTGTGCTATCAAATCCATATTATTCCCTTTTCCATTTCTCCCTGCTTTGCATCCTGTCAGTCAACAGGACTTGAAGCCCTAACACCAGTAGGAAGCAGAAAACTAGACAAGAGTAGGTAAAAGAGAAACAAAAGGTCTAATTATAGTCCTTGGTGAGTAAATGATGTAAATAGCCATATTTTGCTATCTGATCACATATAGGTTTAGTATTTTATTCTGATGATATATGTCGTGAACTTGTAAGTTACGTGAGTGGGCACCATTATCTGACAGGTAGTGGGCATAGGCAGGATCCTTTGTAACAAACCCTTGCTCAGTGCTGCATATAGTTGTGATACTATGAGAAACAATTATGGTCAACCTCAGAGAAAGGAGAACTGACTGCATTTAGATAAAAATTGCTATTTCTCAAGTTTTGAGGAAAAAAACTATATACTATGTAACTAGAATGAAGCTCAAACTAATTAGGTTCTATTTGGGGTTTCCCTTCTGCTGGCTAAATCACCATTTAAAATATTTCAAAACCTTGGTTGGAAAGTTAGACAGCTAAGAATTATAAGGTGGTAATTGTCCCATAAAGACCCATCCCTTCCAACATCCTGTTCTTTTAGGAAAATATCCACTTATTTCTGAGCTGATTCTAGAAAGCATTCCCTCCATATCCTTGTCCATTCACTAGCCTTAATATCTATTGTGTACTTCAGAAAAAAATATTTTCTAACATTCTGTTTCACATTTATTTTCCTTTAATTTCTATGTATATTCTGTTTTCCAAATTTTCACTCAGGTCTGAAAAAAGAGTTCCAGTAACTAATAGCTTGACACAATGTCAGCTATTTAAAAGTTCAGATACTAAGAGTCTGTCATCCTTTGCTTTTCACTGCTTTCTTGCATTTGGGGGAGAATAGTTAAATTAAATTTTAAAACTGTAGTTCTTTTTGAATCATCATTAAAATAGGACTGGGGGAAGAGAGGTTATATAAAGGAAAGGAGAGGCTATAAAGGTAGAAATTAAGCCTCCACTGATGAAGCTGGTAAGAACCAGAGCTTCCAAGAAAAGGCAGCCCTGAAGATAAGGCCAAATCCTTTGCTCCTTATCAACATGAAACTACTGAGTTTCTTTCTGACTTTATTCTGAAAGCACCTTTCGGCTTGCCTGGGCTGTTTCTAAATAGACAAGTGCTTATTGCTCAAGCAGGGACAATTTCTATAAGGCTCGATTCAGGTTGTGGATTCTTTTTATTTTGTCCCACATTTTCTGAACTCAAAATAAAAAGTGGTTTTAACCTAGGATTATAGAGGTAGGAAACCTAGTGGGGTCTGCTGGAACCCTTATTGCCAATTTTCTTCTTATCTGGTCCTTTCCCCAGGGAGACGTCCTGGTTTAAGTACGTGTCCCCTGCAAAGGTTTACAAAAACAAGTTAGTCCCAGAAAATACAAAACGGATAATATCCAATTAGGCAAGAAGGGGAGTGATTTATTCTCATACTTTCTTAGAGGGAATATAAACTGACATAACCTTTCTGGAGAACAATTTGGCAGTGTTTATAAAAGTTTTAAAAACAGTGTGCTCCACTTCCAGGAATTTATTCTGGGAAAGACAACTCTTCTTCTAGGTTTTGTCTTCTTTCTGTTATCTCTGTATATTATATTGGTGGGTCATTTAACCATTCTTAGTGTGTTCTGTATTTTCATAATAGGTATAATAAACATATACTCCTTTGGTAATCAGAAATAAAAAAAAAATCACCAGTAAATACAAAACATACACAAACAAACCCTGTCCAAAGCCACTTGTATTCAAAAGTGATCAGTGTTAACCTTCGGCAACCATTTTCTTTTATGATGATGATAATAATGATGAAAAACCACCTCGGGTTTGGGAATATAATAAAAAAGCCCATGTCCACTTTTGTGGCCATTACTTTCACAGAATAACCTAAACAGAACTTCAAACCATGACAATGATTTCCTCTCCCTGTGGGCCCTTAGACTGTTCCTTGAGGCTTCCACAAACTCATTGAATGTGAGTTAAACCCTAATGTGGTAGCTACAGTTCTTCCTTCCAATGCATCTGGAATCTCATTAGCTGATGAGATATTCTTTACCTCCATTTTATAGCAGGAGACATTATCTAAATTCTTCTGGATCGTATGACAGTAGCCCTGGGAACAGAGTGCAAGTTTTAATCGTTCTCTGGCCCAAAAACACTACTGTACTATTTCAAGACATCTTCTGAAGGGTCCACAGGGACTACATTTAAAACCTTCTGGTCATTGTTTGCTAACTGCTGGGAGGGATTTAATCAGGAAGAAGCCAGCCTGCATGTTGGAAGAGCTCCTAAAATGTCTCCAAATTGTTTTAGGAGAAAATGCTTAACAGAAGAGGACTTATTCCTGCCCTGGAATAAACTCATTAGAACTGACATATTCATATGATGTAACCACAGACCAAGAGAACTACAATTTTTTTAACATATTACATCCCAAAGGCAACTGAGGTTTCTAAATATTATCAATATTGGATAATAAAACCTGTTCTACAAAGACCATAGCCTCAATATACTGCTTGACACCTTCCTCCTCTAAGAATAATCTTGGTGTTTCATATAACTTCTCTACTAGAATCTAGTTTTTACACTAGTTTTCTTGAAGAAATTTTCTTTTTTTTTTTTAAAGATTTTATTGGGGAATTGGGGAAGGGGAACAGTGTTGGGGAATCGGGGACAGGGAAAAGACAAGTTGCTGTCCTTTGGTTCTTCAGCCTAGTTGTGGAAGACGTCGCTTCACTGGCCCATGTTGGTGTTATCATTGTGCTCTTCCTGGGTGGGGCAGTCAGTCGCCGGCCATTGGACGGCCGCTCATGGCGGCTCACGGTAGTTCGTGCGGCTGCCCGCCACTCACAGTAGCTTTACAGCAGCCCACTGCAGTCCCACTGAAGTCTACACCGTCGCCGGCAACTCACAGCAGCCCAGCTCCAGATCGAGCTGTTGTTCACCATCTTAGCTGTAGAAGGCACAGTGTCACTGGCCCGCATGTGGGAACCGAACCAGGATCCTGCTGCTCAGAGCTGGCATCCCAAGCCAACTCCTAACCAATGCGCCACTCGGCCGGCCCAGAAATTTTCTTGAAGGTGGGTTTTATTTGACAACTCAAGTAGAATTTTCTGAGGTAAAAAAACCTCATATCACTTCAGTAGACATTTTTCTCTTCCCACAATCCTGACTTAAGGTAAGTGAAGGGAGTCCTTTTATGATGAGTCCAGTTTAGTTCTAGGTTCCAGAAAAGCCCATGTTTCTCAGTAGTAGCTCAGATCAAACAAGACCACGATTCCCCCCCACCCTCACACCTCCTCCACATTTGAGCAGAACTAATCCAAATACCTGAATCAGTTCCAGAAGCATCTCTGGTAAAGATGCTTCTAGAAGCATCAGTAAATCTCTTCTAGGTTATTTAGGCTCTTCCAGGCCTTAGCACAGGATACATGGAATTTGGTCAGCCTTGTATTTAAATGCACAAGTAAAATATTTTCTTCCCTATTTTCTAATTCTTGTATAATTTATCATGGAAGGAGGATTGGGATTGGCTCTGTGCTAGCCTGGGAATTGGGCTAACTTGGATTTAGTGGTTATACTAGAGATTGTTGCAAGTTGTGACCCAGTGATTTAGGAAATATCAACCAGATACTGGATTCCTAAAACATCAACCAGAACCAGGATTCCTAAAATCCTGCCCAGGAACAAACCAGCACAGCAAGGGTTTCTGGAGTTGACCCCAGCCCAGTTCTACTGAATCCAACTGTCTGGGGATAGGGTCCTGGAAGCCTTCTTTTAAAAAAATGCTTTTACAAACGCCTCTGCATGCTGAAGTATAAGAACCTCTTCAGCAGAACAACTGTAAGTGTAAAAGGAAGAAATAAATCTCAGCAAGCAGAGGTAGGCAAGAGTTGAATTTGAGGATTTAATACTAATGGGTGAATAATGATTAAAAAAAACAAAACAGGTTAGTGGTGAGGGATCATGAAGGCCTTTGCTTCAGCAACTCCCTCTTCAGTTAGGTTGGCTGCATCAGTGTGCTGATACTTTCTTCTACCTCTGAGAGCTTCTTCAGGACTTGGTTGACCGTGGCTTCATCAAATTCCAAACACAGAAATTCAGATTCCTGGAAAACATAAAAGGATGTTTTAGAAGAGACCCACAAGATAGCCACAGCTCTGGATCTGGCATGCCCTAGCCCCAAAGACCCAGCAAGCCTGACTCAAGCCTCTATACCTAAATGATACTTTACCCAGCAAAGCAAATCCAACACAATGCCCTAAATGAAACTACTTCTATGAGGTGTTTCATAAATGTTAAAGAGATATTCAAGTGTCTCATCTGTCATCACATTTGATCCCATAGTAGTTTTTAAGTAAGTACTTAAGTATGGCTGTTTTACAGGTGATGACCCCGGGGCACAGAGAGTTTAACCTGTAACACAAAATCAGAAAAAGGCAGAGTCTGATTGTGGACTCCCAGCTCTAGTTGACTCCAAAGTCCACACACTATCTCTACAGTACCCTGCACTATAACAATGGAAGTAGGATTGGTTCTGTGCTAGCCTGGGAATTGGGCTAACTTGGATTTAGTGGTTATACCAGAGATTGTTGCAAGTTGTGACCCAGTGATTTAGGAAACATCAACCATATAACTGAAAGATAACTAGATCTTGAAACAGCCTTAAACATTTCTAGGGCCTTTCCACTTGCTGCAAGCCAGCTCTCCCAAGATTTCCCTCAAACACATTCCCTACAATCATTGTTAGGATCACTCAACCCTAGATTGGATAGACAGCAAAGAAAAGAGGCCTTTCAAGTATGGTGACTGAAATTTCATGTGCACTAAACAAATCCTAGGAACACACTATCTTGAGAGACAAGGGCAAATTATACATCCAAGAGTGACTATATTCACGATCTTTAAGGACCACAATCATGTAATTTTTAGAGCAGTGTGAATTATTAGAAATTATATAATCCAACTGCCTTGTTTTTTAGATAATGAAATGGAGGACCCAGGCATGTTAAATGACATGCCTATTGCTCCCTGTTGATGGTAGAGCCACCAAATCAATGCTTTTTTTCTTTACATTTTCCTCTCTATAAATACTATGGCATTTCTCACTCCCATCCCCAAAGCAGCAGGTAAAAGATGACCATAAGCCTCTTCAGAGGGAGAGAGTCACTCTGTCATCAGCTAGACGAACCTTCAGGAGGTGATTCTGAAAAAATACCTTTGCTGTTGCTAAGCTGCTGTGCTGTGTCTGTACTGATGGCACCGAACATCCCCCAGGAAAAACAAGTGCAGAGAGAAAGAAGGGACCTCTCAGATGAAAGTCTCCCACAGGGAGGGAAGGCAGCCTTCCCTGACTACGGGGACCTTTCTCCTCAAACATGTATTTGGATAGATGAGGGGTATAGTCTTATATGTGAGTTTAGAAACTGCCAGGTTTTCATTTAGTTGAAAGCAAAAACCAATTTATAAAAAGAAAGAAGCTTCCAATGTTTGAGCTCCAGGAGGGCTTATCCCCTTTTAGAAGGAAGAACAAATTTATGGCAAATTAGGCAGTTCAGCTGGCTAAATTAGGAACAGGTCTCAGACTTGAAAACCTTTTATTCTTCAGTAAGTTTTATCAAGCTCTTTCGCTTAACTTTAAAGCATTTTTTAACATTTGGCCTTTGAAAAAATGGTCTAGAAACTAATAATTACCTGAGCCTAAAATATATAATCAGGAAATTGGCAGAAAAGATGATGTAATCCATGATTCACCTCAGTGAGAGAAAGTCTTTTACAAAGATAAATCACCCGGTTTTCCATTTATATGCGAAGAGATTATCAAACACAATGCTCACAGAGATAAGAACACTTGAGCAGAGTTTATTAATAAATACCCAGGATCTTTTCTGAGTAGGGGTCGTTAGTTTATTATAGGTTTTAGCACTCACTATCTTGATTGGACCGCATAAGTATTAATGAAGCTCAGTTTATTTTTAAGGGAAACCAAATACTAAAGAGAAATTGCAGGCTAGATAAAGAGAATCAAAAGTTAAACAAATATGTTCTATCCACTCCCAGCCTTCACCTCTCATGCCTTGAAACAATGTACACTAACAGTCTTAGAAAGACATACGAGTGTAACCACATATAACTCTTAAAAAAAGTCTACCTGAAACTGTATTATCAATGCCTAGCTTCACCTATTATAGTTATGCTATCACATTTTATCAGGAATTCAAGAGTCTTTAAACTGGGGATTAATACATGGGGCTTTTTCAGATTTCACATTTGGCTGGAGTACCCTATAAAGGACATCTGATGTACTTGAAAATATCTTTAGAAATGCACGTCATGCTTATTTAAGCCAGGCACAAAAAGTACAATCTGAAACATCTCTCTCTTTTTTTTTTTCAAAGTCATCCACCCTGATGTGGGCCTAACTGATCATAATAATGAGAGATGACAAGACTAAATTCCTGTATTTAAGTGTCTAAGTCAAGAGTTAGAACCTGCTTCTTTTTAGCAAAGTGTACATACAGCATGGGGTAGAGTCAGAAAGTGGTTCCCAGATGAATAAGCAAGCGCATCACTAAGGCTATGTACTTTGTGATCATGGGGAGTACCGCAGTGTCTTAAGCTCAAGGGTTTAAATAACTTTAAAATTAGGGAAGAAAGCACTGGCAAAATATTCAGATATTTCCTCCAAGTGTAAAAGCTTAAAAGTCATAAAATCCTAAAAAGAGATCCTTGAGAGGCCACCCTCTTCAAACCAAAAACAACAACAAACCAAGCTAGCTTTAATGACTTCCAGAGAGGGACATCTCACAGGTTCCTAAAAAACTCCTTTCCCAGGTAACCACTTAACATTCTTCAGGAAATTCGTAACTTGTCAACGCTAAATCTTTAACTCATTTCCTAGCAGGCTCAGAGAGTATAACTGATTATTAGTTTATATAATAATTGAAGGCTGTTATTAAGCAAGTGTTTGGTTTTCCCCATCTACATACTAAGTAACCTCTTTCTATACGATGTCCATTTATATGACTGCCTTATCTAGGCCCATAAACATACCCTGAGCAATTCTTTGGCATAACAATACCACAGTGACAAAAAGCTAAAAATAGCATATAAAAAAGGATTATGACTTATTAAATACCTAAGTGGAACCATTTAGAATAAATTCAACATATGAATAAAACAAAATAGAAAACTTATAACCTATTTTCTATATTATTATTTTCCATGCAAAATTTCCACAAAGCTCTATCCCCAATTTATTGGTCAGATTTAGCGTTATAACTGTGGCAAGTTCTAACATGTTGTGTGGTTTCTTTAAAAAATGCTGAAATTGGGGAATGAAGAGTAAGAGTAGGAAAGGGTGCCTTAGGATCCTGCTAACCGATGCTGATTCAAGAAGGTCATACACAGCTGGCCACATTTCACAAGGTTTATTCCCCCAATTTTTCTTTTGTTTTTATTTATTGACACAAAGGTACTCTTGGCTGAGCAAAAACTTTAGCCATAAGGCCTATCCCTCTGTTTGGGCTGTCTTTTCATAAACTTAAATTAACTCTCTGACTTACAGCTCTGCCATTCTTCTGTGTTTAACAACTGGGGAGAAAACAAGAACACGTGGCAAAGGTCAAAACTGGCAATGGCTTCTTAAGAGCAATTATATAATAAATAAGACACCCAACAGCTTTGAACACTGCCAACTGGAGGAGTTCAAAACATCTTCATAAGTAAACCTGTGCTCATTACTCATTCCCATACTTCCTGTGGGTTTCTCGGAATTATCATTGATAATGATGCCTAACTCCTTTAGGAGACCTTAAAATAGCTTCTCTGTGGCAAAGGATCTTCCAAGCTCCTTTCAAAGAACCATTAACCCCAAATTAAAATTTTATAGTTCCCTGAAAACTGTGTTGATTATTCTCCACTTGTCCTTTCATATCTATTTCCTTTTTTTTTTTTTTTAAAGATTTTATTGGGGAATTGGGGGAGGGGAGCAGTGTTGGAGAATTGGGGAAGGGGAACAGCCAAGTTGTTGTCCTTCAATCTTAGTTGTGGAGAGTGCAGCTAGCTCAGCTCCAAGTCCAGTCGCACCACTCAGCTCAAGGTGCTGTGTTCAATTAGTTGCAGGTGGGCATAGCCACCATCCCATGCGGAGTCGAACCAGCAACCTCATTGTTAAGAGCTCACGCTCTATCCCCTGAAGCACCTGGGCAGCAGCTCAGCTCAAGATGCCCGAGTTCAGTCTTTAGTTGCAGGCTGGCGTAGCCCACCATCTCAAACAGGCAACCTTGTTGTTAGGAGAATGTGCTCTCACCATCTGAGCCATCCTGCCACCTGTTGGCAGCTCAGCACAGGCACAGCTCACTGGCCCATGTGGGAATCAAACCGGCGACACTGTTGCTCAGAGCTCGCACTCTTGAGCAAGCTCTTAAAGAACTGAGCCACTCGGTCGGTCCCTCATATCTATTTTCTACCCTTCTCTGCCTTGTTCCATGCCCTGTGAAGCTGTTCTCTAAGACTGTGTCACTCCCTTGTTTTCTGGCTTAGAGTTGGGTTCAGGAAAGAGGAGAGAGAGGTCAAGATATTTATTCCCTAACTCCCAACTCCTCCTCTGCCATGTCCAATATTTTCTATGTGGGAGTATTATTTCTTCATTTCTCATTTTACTCTCTGGCCTCAATTAGTACTTCAGTATAAACATCAAGATGAGTCTCTTCAGACTGCCAAAGTATATAATCACAACTGTGTATATAATCACCCAATACAACCCCAAAGATGAGCAGAGCACGAATTTTCATCATGCCTATGTTGGTAAAAAGGCTGCCCTCCAAGTATAAATAACAGGATGAACCGAACCGATATTTGTTTTTTTCTTTTATCATCTGATATTGAAGTCTTGTATAGTAGCACTTTGTATTAAAGAAGAAAAAGAACAACAACAATAGCAACAACTGTGGAAGATGAGATTTCATTAAGAGTTTGCATCAAAGGTCTTGATACCAGAAACGTGGCCTCATCTCTATCTGCAACCTGTTCTTATGTCCTGTATCTAAAGCAATGGATAGCTTATGCTGCATCTTAAACAATACTTTAAAAAAGAAAACTTGTGTG